GAAAAAAAAAAAAAAAAAAAAGGTATTACTATGAAAGAGGATATCTTGAAGGGCAAGAAATAACATAATAATATTTCAATTGAATTTTGCCTATGTTCTAACTTCTTTCATACTCATGCTTTTTCTCAGGAAGTAGAAAAGTTATGCAGATATATCTATTTGGTTTTATTAAGTTATTTTTATACACTCTATACAGGGCTCCAGTGGTGTAATACCTAAGGCATTTGACTACTAATCAGAAGGCTGATGGTTCAAACCCACTAGCCACTCCTTGGAAGGAAGACTGGGCAATCTACTTTCATTGAGATACTGCCTCAGAAGCCCAAGGAGGGGAGGCTATGAGTTGAATTGACTCGAGGGCAGTGAGTTTGGTTTTCGGTTTTATACAGGGCTCTACTGGTGTAGCGGTTAAAACATTTAGTTGCTAACCAAAAGGTCATTGGTTAGAACCCACCATTCACTCCATGGAAGAAAGATGAAGCAGTCTCCTTCCATAAAGATTTATAGCCCTGGAAACCTTATGGGGCACTCCTACTCTGTCCTATAGGGTTGCTATGATTTTGATTTGATTCAGTGGCAGTGGTTCGGTTTTTTGGTTAACATTCATACCATATTCTTATGCAAATAAAATACACGTTATACGTTTTAGTAAGCCACACAACCACCCCTATGCATGCTATGTATATCATATGTGTGTGCACATTATGTGGGTATGTTATATGCAAAAAATATGGCAATAATCTCAGAAGCCACTTTTACTGCCCATCTCTCCCCCATGCATTAGTAAATGTAGAGATGGTCTCTCAGAGATCTGTAATGCTTCCATGGAACTACAGTAACAATGCAGTTGGGGACAGAATTTTCAAAATCTCAAACTAAAGTGAATCATAGATTGAACAATATGAAAGGGATGAAGTCAACTATTCTCTTTTCCCATGAAAAGCTTTTAACATGGTAATGGAAATATATATTAAACTAAATGCCTGATTAAAGTTCAGGTGTATATCTGGAATGTTTTAGAAATGTTTTAAATCCCTGGCTAGTTAATGCAACTGAATCAGCCCTGCTGTAAAGGAGAAGCCACATGGAACACCTTTGATAATGAAGGCACACCAATTCTGGAGCCCTGGTGCAGGGTATTTTCCAGGTGACTATTTTTTAAAGGTTGGCGGCAATTAAAAAACAAAATAAAAGTAAATGTAGTATCTAATCACTATTTTGTAAGATGGTCCTTTGGCTCCTAAAGTTCTTTGGTGCAATTAAAAAACCTAAGTGACATTCATCACATGACCCAGTCTCATAAAAGAAGTGTACCAATGTTGACCACTTATCGTCCAATGGGGAGCCCTAATGGCTTAGTGGCTAAATGCTTGGCTGCTAACAGAAATGTCAGCAGTTCGAACCCACTAGCCACTCCTCGGGAGAAAGGTGTGGCAGTTAGTGTCCATAAAGTTTACAGCCTTGGGAACCCTTGGGACAGTTCTACTCTGTCCTGTTGGCTCACTATGAGTTGGAATTGACGGCAACAGGTTTTTTGGTAACATCCAATTTTACAGAAGAAAAGGCAATTCCAAGAAAAGTGGGTACTTCTTATCCCAATGTTGATGTCAACAAAAGGGTTCAATTTTTTTTTTCCTGTCACAAAAGTTCTTATGTAGCATCAGAAATTTGATACATATTAAATTTTTTTTGTTTTAATTGCTGCAAT